TGCCTAAATCTCCCATAACAACATTCGCATTTCCGCTTGACAACATTTGAATTTGCCCTTGGTAACTTGTGCGTTTCAACGATCAAACTGCGCGGTAAAACTTCCTGTCTCTAAGCTCAACTGCAAATCGCAGTATGTGAAATAAGTTAGTGAAGTTACTGAAAGTTTTGGGTTTTCTCCGGGTACTCCGGTTTCCTCCCAGTGCAGGGAATGTTGACAGGGTGGGTTGAGATTAGCCCCTAACTGACCCTTCCACTGTAGCTGTCCTCCGTGATCAGACATGAATCATAAGGTGGCTGTCAGAGGCGCCCTTAGTGAGCCTTCGACTCAATCAGGTTCAGCTGTGTCCTTCGTAATACAGCTTAGTTCTGAGCGCTGCAAGTAAGGATGATTAGCACACACCATTTACTTAATTACATGACCTTAATCACCTTATGGTAAGAGCTCAACAACAGGACTCTGTAGCTCAGTTGGTTAGAGCGCTGCACCGGGATTGCACAAGTGCAGGTTCGATTCCTGCCAGAGGGCCTATAGTTGCATTTTTTGCAAATGCTTTATAAGTCTAATAAATGTATACTGTATTTATAATGTTATCCCAAATAGTTTTTTGCATTTACTTTTTATGTTATACATGCTATGAGAAGTTTATGCTTGAAGGACCATTCCGGGCTTGTAGTAATATAAATAATTCAGCCAAAGGTTCTCCATTAACATTTCTCAAGAACCCTCGCTTTAAAGGACATTGGCAACCAAAATTTTTATTACTTATATCTATTAGGTATACTAGTCTTACGGAATATTTAATTTCATATTTTGGCTGGTTTGTCGCGTTTAGTTGCTGAGAAAATTTGATTGAATTTGAGAAAATTTGAACAGTTGTCCGCCATTTTGAAAATAGGCGCGTATGCTAATAAGATGGCGGCGAAACTGGCCGAAACACAAAGTTTGCATGCATTTTACTCGTAGACTAAAATGTTCAAGAAGGAAATGATAATATTTTCATAGTTCGGTTGTCAAGTAGGATTGAAATAGCCAATAAAAATTTTCGTTGCCAATGTCCTTTAACAAATTTTACATTAAATTTAACCTTGAGCTTCCAGGCTCAAACATAGTATAGGTCTTTTAAGTTTCTAATGACATAGGGTAAGCATGTTATTATACAAGCATTCTGTCAGTAAGCATACTATCATACAAGCTTGTTTATGCTATCATATACAAGCTTGTAGATGTTATTATACAAGTTATCCTACAAGCTTCAAGTATATATGCAATCATATATGTAAGTGTGTTATCAAGTTATTATGTAGTCCTGTAAGTGTGTTATATTATTATTATGTTCTTATGCATGTCAGTGTGTTATCATATTATTAGGTAGTCATGTAAGCATGTTATCATATTATTAGGTTGTCATGTAAGTGTGTTATCATGTTATTATGTAGTCATGTTAGTGTGTTATCATATTATGTAGTCCTGTAAGTGTGTTATCATATTAGTAGGTAGTCCTTTAAGTGTGTTGTCCTGTAAGTGTGTTATCGTGTTATTAGGTAGTCCTGTAAGTGTGTTATCATATTATTATGTAGTCCTGTAAGTGTGTTATCATATTATTATGTATACCTTACCAAACTGACAGATATGTGACAGATATATGTCACAGTTCTGTAAAATATCTGCAAAATATATGTACAAAAGTATCTGTCACATATCTGCAACATATAGGAATTTGGCCCCATAACATATCTGTCACAGTTATGTGACAGATATCTGTCACAGTTATGTGACAGATATCTGTCACAGTTATGTAGCAGATATCTGTCACAGTTATATGACAGATATCTGTCACATATCTGCAACATATAGGAATTTGGCCCAATAACATATCTGTCACAGTTATGTGACAGTATAGTTTCCCTATCTGTATATTATCTACCAAACAGATATGTAACATAACTGCCACCAAGTGAGACTTATCTCTTGCATAAAATTATTTCCTCTTACTTCTGCAACATCACGTTGCTGCAACTGTACCTCTGTCATGTTCACTTGAAGCCATAAATAATTTAATATGAAGAAATATAATATTTATTTAATAGTAAATGTATTTATTAGTAAATATATAATTATAGGTTACACATACAGATAAATTTAAGACTGTACAATAATTTTTTCTCCAGGGGCCAGTTGTTCAAGGCTGGATTAGCTTAACCCTAGGTTAACCTAAAATTCAAAGCAAACTTCGTGACAGCTTGTCTGTATAAATTTGGAAATATTTCTTCAGAGATCTTGTCTGGAGCGATAGGAGTATTCTTCTCTGAAGTTTTGAAATAAACAGGCGTGTAGAAATACACAAACTAAAACAGCAGGCTAATTTTAACCAGGGTTAGCGCCAGTCCAGCGTTGAACAGCCGGCTCCTGGGGCAGAGTAATTACACTTACTATAACCTACACTTATTTAAAATTTCCTAATATTATATTTATATACATGGCGAGAAATAAATAATGAGTGTATCTAAAAGTCATTAATTGTTAATGTCAAGTCTCACTCAGCTGGTTTGCTTTTAGTTCAAGACCCACAGCATTTGTCCTGTACCATGTACTACATAGCAGCTGTCTTTCCATAGACTGTGTCATCCAGAACAAAAGCTGAAAAAATAGGAATTGATAAAATCAGATTTATTTAATATGTTTTAGATTTAATTGGCATTGAGACATCAAGAATAATCTAGATAGTGTCAGGCCAAATAGGGGATGCCCTTAGGGTAGCCACATCTAATGGGTTACCAGGTATATATTGGCTTAACTAACGATCTACAAGGTTACATTTGATCTGAAAGTATATTACAGGAGTCATTAGGGCTTACTAATGAGTTAGGCCAAAGAAATCATCGACCCTAATCTTTTTGGGAAATGACAAAACGCGGACCCCAGGTCCATGGACTACCTTCGTGGACCTGGTCCATGGACTACACTTGTGGACCACGGACCACTCCCGTGGACCACTTGCGAAATTTCGCCTACCGAACAACAGACCAAGCACTATTATTCCGAGTTTAGGGAGCCGAGATTGGCGGGAACTATTTCATTATTCATTTTCATTATTTATTTCACAATCAATTCAATTTTTGTTGATGAACAGTGAATACTAAGTCTGTAATAATGCTGAAAAGGGGGTTCCATTAAAAAATATAGGAATACTGTGGAGAATCTGGAGGGGAGGGGGATTGTGGTCAAAGGATCTTACTGAATTATTCGAATTTTACTGTTAAAAAATCACTTGAACTGTAGAAGTCGTAAGTTGCAATGACCTTTCAATGCCTGAAGGTCCTCTCCCAAAAATATTAATTTTTGAAGCTCGATTACTGCTTTTCTTACATTTCCTGTAGCGATCGAGAAAAAAAACTACCAATTTTTAGGGCATATATTCGGAAACTTTGCATTAAAGTCGTAATTGCACACTTATATTTCGAATTCGAATCCAACTCAATGTTTTGGGATTCCCATTTTTGAAGGTCATGTAGTGAATGGATTTAGAACTTCACATTTTGTGTAAAGTTTCCACAATGATAATAATGACTGAACTCGACTTGAGCACATTTTTGCATGCACAGTCAAGAATTCAAACCCCAAAAATCTGGTGTCTCGCAAGTGGTCCATGAGAGTGGTCCACGAAGGTAGTCCACGGACCAGGTCCACGAAGGTAGTCCACGAAGGTAGTCCACGGCCCTGGGGTCCGCGTTTTGTCGTTTCCCAATCTTTTTATCTGAAGTTTGCAAAGAGTTCGGAACAATTTTTCATACCCAGTTTGTGGCGTTAGTTTTGTACTAGCTATATAATACTTTTGTTTGTGGAAACACCATGGTTGATAATGAATAATTTGTGTCATCTGTGCTGCCGTAATTGATGTAGAATATCATTCTCATGCATGAACATTTATAATAAAAAATTTACAAGAAAAAAAGAAAACCCTACCTACCCTGCCTAAATTTTTTGCATATGAGAAATAGAAACCCAGGCATTTATTTTTTTGGACTTAGTATGAAGCATGGAAAGATAGGTAAAATTGTCAGAGCACATTAGGACAAATTGCAGGTCAATGGGTCCAGCCACAGCCCTCCCCCTGCATTATTGCAGGCATATGGACAGCTCTATATATACCATACTGTAATGACTCATTCACGACAGAAAATTGGCTATTGCACACTGACCCTTTATACTTCTGGCATAATTTAGATTATTAAAGCACTAAACTACTAAAGCCCTACACACTGTGCTCAATTTTTGGTACGGCACAGATAAAACTGGTACCTGTACCAAATTAATCTGTGCTCGGCCAGTATGAATAGGTAGTCCAAGCATGGTAAACATGTTACGGGTACCAAAATTGAGCACAGTGTCAGTGTTAACAGGCCTTAAAATGGCTGCATTTGGAGGTAAACTTAGGATTCATGTGTAATTATGTTGTTACTATAGTTACTAAGTTTTTGTAGGGGCTGTTTATAAGATCAGTTGAGACTGATTTGTCTGGCCTAGGTGGCCACCTTAGCTGGGCCAGTTTGCGATTTTTTTCATAGAAAGCACTAAAAGCTGACTATTTATTCTTGTTAATTCTTACCTTACAACACCAGTTTGTCAACTCAATCCAGATCTGTTTGTTGAGACTCGAGAGCAATATTTGGAGCACACCGGGCTATAATCCAGTTCCAATATTAATCTGAAAATATATAAAGAGAACATGAATTTGAGGCATTGTCTCAGCGCTCATACATCCTCCAGCTTTTACAAACAAATTATTTTATACAACTGAAGCTCATTAATAAAGAGCTTGCAAGACTCCCCCCTTGACAAGTAAAATTGTCTTAAGCAACACAGTTGCAGCTCAAATGGGTTAAGGATCAATACACTGATATATCGCATGCAATGCTGTAATTCTTCTGTAATTACAATTCATGTATTAAAATGCTAACATATCTTTAACAGCATTCAAATTTTTTTTTTTTTCTGTGTTGGTGTAGTGTACTCAGGTGAATATGATATTTGTGGTGTTACTCTGAGTGTATATCCACACCGGGCGAGCTTGAAAAATATGCCCGGCCACGGTGGGATTCGAACCTACGACCTTTGGAATGCTAGCCCAATGCTCTTCCTACTGAGCTACGCGGTCAGGACGGTTTGAGTAAGTGATATTTCGGAACAGAATCTAGTTCCTTCGATACCAATGTATTCTAGTAATATGAATTTTTTTTTTTTCTGTGTTGGTGTAGTGTACTCAGGTGAATATGATATTTGTGGTGTTACTCTGAGTGTATATCCACACCGGGCGAGCTTGAAAAATATGCCCGGCCACGGTGGGATTCGAACCTACGACCTTTGGAATACTAGCCCAATGCTCTTCCTACTGAGCTACGCGGTCAGGACGGTTCGAGTAAGTGATATTTCGGAACAGAATCTAGTTCCTTCGATACCAATGTATTCTAGTAATATGAATTTTTTTTTTTCTGTGTTGGTGTAGTGTACTCAGGTGAATATGATATTTGTGGTGTTACTCTGAGTGTATATCCACACCGGGCGAGCTTGAAAAATATGCCCGGCCACGGTGGGATTCGAACCTACGACCTTTGGAATACTAGCCCAATGCTCTTCCTACTGAGCTACGCGGTCAGGACGGTTCGAGTAAGTGATATTTCGGAACAGTATCTAGTTCCTTCAATACCAAACAATGGGCTACAAGTATACAACATCGGAAGAAATGTTCACATTGAGAGACGCCACTCCCAATGAGGTACGGAAAATAATCTTGGAAACCCCTTCACATAAAGCCCCAGGTCCGGACAAAATAGGCTTTCAATTTCTGAAAGATTCGCTTAATGTTATCTTACATCCTCTCACAGATATAATTTATTGTTCTCTAAAGACTTCAAAGTATCCCTCAATCTGGAAACTTGCGGAAGTGATAC